AATCTATATACGAGTTGTAAGGCTCGTTAGTAGTTTATAATCTACATACGAGTTGTAAGGCTTGTTAGTAGTTTATAATCTACATACGAGTTGTAAGGCTGTTAGTAGTTTATAATCTATATACGAGTTGTAAGGCTTGTTAGTAGTTTATAATCTAATATACGAGTTGTAAGGCTTGTTAGTAGTTTATAATCTATATACGAGTTGTAAGGCTTGTTAGTAGTTTAATAATCTATATACGAGTTGTAAGGCTTGTTAGTAGTTAAATATATATATATACGAGTTGTAAGGCTGGTTAGTAGTTTATAATCTATATACGAGTTGTAGGGCTTGTTAGTAGTTTATAATCTATATACGAGTTGTAAGGCTCGTTAGTAGTTTATAATCTATATACGAGTTGTAAGGCTTGTTAGTAGTTTATAATCTATATACGAGTTGTAAGGCTTGTTAGTAGTTTACAATCTATATACGAGTTGTAAGGCTTGTTAGTAGTTTATAATCTATATACGTTGCTATTTCTAGGCGTACCAGCGGTGACGATTAAATACATATACTTCCTACAACTAAAAAAAAGTGACAGACAAAAACCATGCTTTTGTATTTTTAGAAAAGCAATAAAAGAAAGGGAATAATGTGATGTATAGGTGGCGTTGCTGCCGATATCAAGTTGAAGCCTTTCGAAGGTTAACAACGACATATTATTAACGAGAATGGCCTGTTAACAAAAAGGACATATTTTAAACCTTGATCCAGAATGCTGTATTGTCTATCAGTCATTCTAATCATTTTAATAACAATCAAATTCTTTAAGGTGCAAAAAATTAATAGTCTAAAGCAACAACAAAATAATACTATTATCTTGAGAAAGTGGTTCACGCTTAAGCCTTAAGGCGTCGTCGGTTGCTTTGTGTAATACTTGTCACCTTTCGAGCACAGCTAAACGAAGGTTATCTGCACTATCTGTCCCTAATTTCAAAGTGATGGACTAAAGTGAAGGCAGCTAGTCAACGCCAGCTACTGTCTATTCTTGTTAGACCACATTCACGACCCAAAACGAAGAGTGTGGTTGTTGTTTTTTTGTAACAATGGGATGCGAACCACGGAACCGGAGTTCCACAGTCTGTCATGCTAACCACAGGGTCGCGCTAGGCCTAGTTTGTGTGTAAGTTTATTTAGAATCTCTTCTGCTCTCGAGAGTTTTAGAGCTGTAGTGAGGATGTAGAATCATGCAATACCTTCCAGTCTAATAACTGGAAGTCACAGCTGAGTGGTAAAGGAGTCGTTTTCTTTCTACAGATATTAAAAGGGCCATAGCCTGGATAGCTATTCGGGGGGAAGATATGCCTAAAAAATACCCACCCCACCTCACTCCGAAAAAAAAAAAAAAAACCTACTGTCACTCTTAGCGCTCCGTTTAATTTATATTTAGCATTTTAGGTATTTCTACTTTTTGTAAAAATGAACTGACTTTTTAACAATGTCTGTGGGAAAGCCCAATTACAAAAATACTTCAAAATACAATAATAGTAAAATATGATACTTGTCAAATGTGTATATACAAATATACATAGAATATAAATAGGGGTATGTTTTACAACAAATTGTCTTTGCTCTCTCTCTTCCTCATTTATATTTGTCGGGTCGGGGGTCTTATCTCCAACTTCCCCCACCGTCTACTGACATGAATGTT